AAAAAAATAGTTACCCTTTTCCCCAGAAAATCATGCAATTTCTGGCTTTTGAATGCACGCAGCACTTGCCAAGCTTGCCGGCAGCGACGGGCTTACGTTGTGGCACTTTCGTTCGACTACTATTTTCGCCTGTGGGTGCGCACAAAATGTTCGAATTGTTAAAATGGGGGACACACGGCTAGTCGACGGCTGCCGGAATGTGTTAACTGAAAATTTTTGAACAATTGATGTACAGTAGATAGGTTTCTATATGCTTACTGGGTTGAGCAATTTCCGGGGTTCTTACTCACATCGAGTTGTGAAACTGTCAGCGACCTTTGAAATATAATTCAATAATAAATGCCACAATGCTTCGATTTGCAGCACTGCTGAAACAATGCTCGTTTTGTAGCACCATGCATCCAAAAGAATCGGCGCTGATAATTTTGCCTATCGATGTATCGCTTGGTTGCGACTTTTCTGGTGTTTTATTGCTAGTATTTCGTTTGGCTGACCAGCTCTGGTCACACTGTGTCTGTCTGCAAACTATTTTAAACAAAAAGCGATTTTAACAAGTAATTCGACGGTAACTAACGCCTATATAAGGACCCAATCCGGGTAACTAACATTTGGCCAGCACAAAGTGTCTGCATACCGCATGCCAGCCCAGTTTTTGCAGTGCCACCGTTCTGTCTGTCGTTCTGTCTGCTCCCACTATCACCCTCTCCCTCTCACACACACTCTCCCACCATCTCTGTCGCTCTGCTTTCGGCTTCGTTTGCGAGAGACGACCTTTTTCGTGCATTTCCACACATAAATATATATTCCATACCCCGTTTCACTCTTCTTTTTGTGCAAAAAAAAAAAATGTGCGTGCTGCTGCTGGCAACCGTTTCGGGTGGATCTTTGTGCGATATTCGTGTAGTTAATTAAAGTGCATTCATTCGCCTGGCGTTGCGTGTGTGTGCGTGTGTTTGTGTGTTTGTGCAACATGCGGCAGCTCGAAGATGATGCCGCCGCTGCCGCCCTAAGACAACCAACAACAAGGTACAACAACAAGAAAGGACGCCTGCAGCTGTACGCCCACGCCCATGTCCATATCCATGTTAATGCCCAAAAAAAGAGTGCAAGTACCGTTTTATAGTACGCGTAGTCATGCCAACAACAACAACAACAACTACAACTACAACTAGCACAACAGAAGAGCATAGCGATACGTCAATGGCGTCCAAGGCGACAAAGACTGAAGAATTTACCGCTAACAACAACAAAACAACAACAATACCAACGAGAGGAGGAGCCGCAGGAGCCCTGCCAGACGATTCTACTGTAGCAGCAGAGCAAGACCCCAAGTTGCCTCAGCCAGCGCCAGCGCCAACGCCAACGCTGCTGCCTCTGCTGGCCTCGGCCGCTGCCTGCAATAAACAGCTGCTGTTCTGCCGCCGCTTTAAGGACAAGCCAGAGGCAAATAGTGTGGGATTTTTACGTAACTTCAACTCCCTGCCCCTCTTCGTCTACGCAACGTCACCGTCGACGCACGCCAGCTCTGCGGATGGTGTGGGAGTGGCCCGGGAGGCGGCTGCCTTCATTCAAAAGGTAAGTCGGAAAGTCCTAGTATCTCCATCTAGCGGTGATCGCGCAAAAAGAATAGCACAGTAGAGAGAGAGAGAGAGAGAGAGAGCAACGCATTTTCTCTCTTTGCATTCTACGTTTAGCGTAATTGATCGCTTCCGTTGCAGCTTTTTGGTAATGTGGTGGTGGGTTGGGGTTCGTGCCATATCTGCATTTTTAATTCTACATTAATCTCAAAGTTCTGCTTGGCTTCTCTCTCCCTCTCTCTACTGTCTGTCTGTCTGTTACTCTCGGAAGTGGCTGTTTTGCAGAATCAGATGCGTTTTTAATGTTAATCATAGTATGTACAACAAAAACAACAACGGAATGGCTTACGTTGTTTTGGTGATCGCTCAAACGTGTCAGACATTAATGAACCAACCGCCAAAGCCCAGCCTAACTGTGCTTTGTCTCGTACGCAGAGAGAGCGAGACAGGGCGACGGACAGAAGGAGCCGAGAGGGGTTGCAAGGGGAGGGAGGCGAAGCACGCCATATGCTTTGGTGGTTACAGGTGCAGCCATTGACTGGGCAAAAGCGTTCGCTCTCCTTTTGTTGTGCTTGCGGTTCCTTCTCTCCAACCCGCTGCTCCTCTCTCTTTGTCGCTGTCTGTGCGTTCCCCTCTCCCTTGTTCTCTCTCTGTGTACCGCACTGCAACGCTTCACTTGTGCCTGTGGTTGTTGCTGCTTTTGTTGCAGCCCACTGAGTCGCGACTTGTGCGCTGCTCATAAGCTTCATTAGCACAGACAACAAAAGCCCCCGAAAAGCTTCAAAGACAAAAATGTGCGGTATTTTAGTGGTTTTTGCTTTTCTTTTCGGCAGTTGGTTTTTTCTGGTACTCACTGGATGAGGAGGGTGAGAAAGAAACATTTTTGCCATTTGCCATTTTTGATACATTTTTATACTGATTTATTAACGGTGGAAGTCGATACACTATCTATGGGGGGACTATGTGGATAGGAAAAGCTACAAATTTAAGAATTTTAATTATAAAAAAAGTGCCTTAAGGTCTCACTCGGAAATTTCTGAAATTCTTTCTAGACTTTTCTTTTTGCATAATTTCCCCTCCTTGCCTGTTGGCATTTCTAATTCACATTTCGTATACTTTTATTAATTCAATTAAAAACCAAAATGAATCTGCATCTTGAGCTTCTTTTTATTGGATTTTTATTACCGTGTCTTTCTTTTCATATTTAACGATCAGATCGTTTGACACTTTCTACGTCGCTTTCTAGCGTGGGCCCCCAAAACGAAAGAGTTCCCTCTTAGTGGGTGTGGCACCCATGGGATGCATGCAGCATGCAGTATGCATACGTCACACATTCCCAAATTCGATGCGTGATAGGGAATATTCGTGGGCGGCATTTCCTACGGCTGCTGTACAGTGTGTGCGGAAAGTATAAGGCAGAGGGAAATTAGTTATGGCAGATGAAGATTTCACGGTAATAACTGTAAGCCAGGTTTTTGTTTTTTTTAAGCAGTCAATAAGATTTTGTAACCTAAACTAACATAATTTCTATTCTTGGACGACTTCTTTTGATATATTTTCAATGTATTTATCGATAAATGCTAACATGAAATTAATAGAAACTCGATAGAAATAGAAAATTAATCGATTACAGACTCACATAAAACTCACAAGTTCTTCCGTTTAATTTTAAACTAAAAATTTTATAGTGATTCTTTTTTGTTGGAGACTCTCAATAAGTTTCTAAAAGTATGACTCTTTTTGTTGGTTCTTACAGTGCCGATACGCACTGTACTATATCTATCCCTCCATGGTCATGATCTAGTAGTAGTTGCCAGCCTTTGCGGTTGTTACACAATTACGCTGCACTGTGGTCCCCACTCTACCCCAGGCATTGTCATGGGCAGGAGGCGAGGGTGTTGTTTACATTTTCAAATTTAAATCAATTTTGTTTCTGATTGCGGTTTAAGTGGCAGGTTCCAAGCGAAGCGCTTCCCCGCCCCTGCCTCGCCCTTGCTCTTGTCTTTCTTTGTGTTTATTGCTGCCATGTGTGCAGCTGTATCTGTATATCTGTTTCTGTGTGGCGTTCTCGTGTCGTCAAACAATGCGCATATGGATACTGTATCTGTATCTGAATAAATGTATCTTTTATTACCCATATCCATACATTTATTGAGAGACAGTTGTTTTTTTTTTTTGTTTTTTGGGTGCAGCGCAAACAATTGTGTGCCATCCTTCCATCCCTCTTTTTCTCTGGACATATTTTTGATTGCGTAGCTGCCTCTGGGCCAGGGACCTCTGTCCCATCCCATCCCGCCATCATTCCCACGAATAATTTCGAGAAAGAGTACCCGCTCTGCTGTTTACATTTCATTTTACAATCCATATTGTGCCCTCTTTCAATTGCCTTAAATATGTATACGTATATTTATTATTAATTGGGGTTAAATCAATTTCAAACTGAATGCCTTCAGTTTGCGGAAATTCTGTTCTGATTTGGCATTTTATTTTGCATTTCTTCGGATTTTGTATTACTAGAAATTATTTATTATTTATTAGAAATTTAGGAATGAACAAAACAATTTCTACAATTGGCTGCTTGAACTCCTTTCTTTCTTTTAAACACTATTCTATTGATAGATCCCTGGCATCTGGTATTTTAGTGCTTGTTTTCTTTGCGCTCCATACGGAATATTATATATTGAATTACTAACTCTTTAATCGCTGTTTTTATTAACAAATCGTTGTGCTATCTAGGAGCTTAAAAGCTGAATAAATTATCTTTAAATATTTTTTGATTAGATAAAGTAGAACAAATATTTGTTCGGTACATCGGTAAAATATGAATTTAATTTAGCATGCCGTAAAATGTATCTTTGAAGGATTGAAGCTTTAATTTGTTTGTTACATTTTTAATATCTGTCACCTGACTTTATGTCTGTAAATATAGTTAAGTTCTATACAGCGACAATCTGTTTATTGCCTTAGATTAGAGATTCCGCCATTAAAACATACGAATACAACCTTTGAAGTACGAGCCTCCGCTAGACCATCTCCGTATCTGTTCTGGCCAATCAAGTAATAATACTTGTTCTGCTTTAATGACTCTAGAAAAATAATTTGCAAGAGTTCTCGCTCTCGCTGACTTTGATCAAAACATTTTGTCCTACAAAAATGGCTCCAAGGGCGCACTCTGCCCACCGATAGATCGATTTCACCACAAATATACGAGTAATTTTCTACACTGAAGTGGTTCTCACTTATCTGTCTTTTTGGTGTAGAGATTTTTTTGTTGGTTAACCGTTTCTCATATGTATTTATTGTGATTTTGATGGCAAACCTACGGGAGATATTCTTGTGTCAAAATTTTGGACTAAACGATGAATATTTTACAATTAAATCTAAGAAAATGTTCCTTTGTTCGCTTATCAAAAATAAACCACATTTAATTGAGCTCGATTTATATACAAAACTTCAATCTAATCTAAACCTTCAAGGGGACACCGGGATAGCCCTTGGCATTGAGGCCGGTCACCTTGTAGGTGGTGCCAGCGGGAACGGGCTGATCGAACTTGTTGGCTGTCGTCACATAGAGAATGTCCAGCTGGGGGCCACCAAAGGCCACGGAGGTGATCTGGGTGGTGGGAATTTTGATCTCCAGCAGGATCTTGCCAGAGCTGTTTGGAAGGGGAAAATAGTTAGCTGGAAAATGGCAACATCTCGATAAAGACTCACCTTGGGTTCACCTTGAAGACGGAGCCACCGTTGAAAGTCGCCACATAGATGTTGCCCTCGGTATCGACGGTCATGCCATCGGGGTAGAGCGGAGTATTGGGACGGATCTTGCGCAGATCGAAGACGACCTTGGGATTGGCCACAGCGCCCGTTTCCACATTGTAGTCGTAAGCGTGGACCTCGTGCGTGTTGGTGTCAATGAAGTAGAACTTCTTGGCCTTCTCGTCCCAGGCCAGGCCATTGGAGATGCCCACCTCGCCCTTGATCTTCCTCACCTGACCGCCGGCCTGCCAGTCGTAGAGCTCGCCCTTAAACTGAGTGAAAATGTCGCCGGTGCAGCACATGGTGCCACCATAAAAGCGTCCCCGGGGATCGGTCTTGGCATCGTTGATGCGATTATCGACCAGACCCGGCTGCACCTCGAACAGGGTGCGCAGGACCTTGGCCACTGGAGCGACACCATCCCACTGGACGACGACACAGCGGCGATTGCAGCCAACGGCAAACTCCTGCGGTCTGTTCTCGATGGGCAGAATGAAGGAGGCAAACTCCTCGCCCTGTATCTGTGCCTTGTACACCTTGTTCTGCTTGTAGTCGTAGCGGTGGATGACGCCCACCTCCAGATCCACGTAGTACAGGCTCTGGCGTGCCACATCCCAGTGGGGGCCTTCGCCCAGGCCGGCATAAGAGTCGGGCAACGCTTCTACTTTGTAGGACATCTGAAAAATTGATAAACAAATGAATTATTTTGAATTTTTCCATTGTTTTTTGAATGATAATCAAAGAGACAATTCCGGCAAGCAATTAAAAATCTCTGTATATAAATTATACACTCGAACACACATTTAAAAGTAATTAGATTTAAATGTCTCCGCTACCTTTGAGATTTAATTTGTGTGTGTGGAGTGTGGAAGAACAGTTTGGTGGTCCGCTAACGCTTTCAAACTGAATTGAAGCCGGTTTGTTAGAAATGTTTTTATACTCGCCAGCATACAGCACACATACAGACTGGTTCGAAAATGATAAGCGCTTGTTTTAGCCCGCTTTAGTAGTGTGCACACCGGCCATCAACTGATAAGTTGCAATGCTCACACAAACACACTTGACTTTAATTAGCTATTGAGGTGGAAACCTTAAACGGTGATGGTAGCAATTTCTAGGCACGACAGCGGACTACGTCTAGTACTAGGACCAGTTCCTTAAGCGAACCTAAATGCCGTGTCATTTAGGTTTTGATTATTCATATTAAATGTTTCATCTGGGTCTTAGGCAATGCGATTACAGCATGTGATTGGCTATATTGTTGCATGTATTACAAACAGCAGTCCCCTATGGATTGCGGAGTAGTTTTTCTAGATCGAAAAATCTGCACACAAAAACCCAAAGATCTGGCAATAATTGTAATAGATTTGTATTAGTTTTCAGCAATCTAGTGGATGGCAATATTAAGATTTAAGATTCAACATTTACAGATTTTTCGTACCTTTACAAATGGGAAATTATTTTTGATTTTGAACAGTTCTAAAACTATGTAGAGTTTGCCCTTTCTTAGAGAGAACCTTCACTGTACTTGCCCATATCTCTATTTTGTATCTTATGCAAAATTTGTTTGCCTTTAAATATAATCACCGTACAGCATTTTCTTCACACATTTTATGGCTTTCGGTGCACACATCATACACAAGTATCACATCAGTGATGTGCGCAGATCGTTAAAATGTGTGCCATAGATACGACAGAAACGAAATGATCATATTCAAGGATTGTTTGCATTGGTATTGGTAGCCATGGCATGGCAGGGCAGGGCAGGGCAGGGCAGGGCAAGGCAATTAAAATGTATATGGAAATGAAAGGCAATAAAACCAAGGGCTTAAGCGTACGATGATTGTCTTATCAATTTTCCATAAATAAACAAACAAAATGCGAGCGCGACTCGAAACTCAAGTAGGGGCAAACAAACCCCTTGAGAGAGAGCAAGGGTGATACAGAGACAGAGAGCGGGTCATTGATTAAACCTTTTGCGGTGAAGAGTCATGGCAACCGTTCTGTTTGTGTTTGTGTTCTTTGCCCTTCATGTGTCCCACTCGCACCACAGTGGAGGAGTCTCATGTGAGTCTCTCTCTCTCTCTCTCTCTCTCTTGGTCTCTGTCTCTGTGTTGACTCCTTCCTTTTGTGCTCGCCTTTGCGTGCAATTAAAGCCAAGAGAGCGAGTGGGACAGGGACAGCACAGGGAGAGAGATAAGAAAGGCCGCTGCTAGTGGACAGTGGGTCACTCGAGCGTTAGGCTGGTTGTTGTTGGTCTCGCAGTTTGGTCCGAGTCTTTGCTGTACTTGTCCATGGCTCTGATGGGGATGGCTGATGTCTGCTTCTGGGGCCGGTGTCTGCCTCCATATGGAACTGCAACATCAACACCATAATAAAAACTAATGAGGCACAGTAATCGCTCACAAAGAAGAACACTCAGATGAGTTGAGTGCAGTTTTTGGACAGGAAATATTGCCTTGCAGCACCTTCAACCTCTTTCGAGTGTTCTTATTGAGCGACCACTGTACTTAGTTGCTATGGCTATCTATTCTGGTTCTGGTTCTGGTGGTGTGGCGTGGCGTGGTGTCTTCTTGGGCAGTGCATTACCCTTTGCCACACATTACACGGCCGCTGCCTTCGTTTGATTTCTTTATTTCTTTCTTCTGCACTCCGCCCGAGGCTCCTAGTAATTATCCGTAATTGATTACATCTAAGCGGGCGCCCGTAAGGGGGCAAATGTTTACCTACAAATTAAATGCATTGAACAAACAAAGTGCGTAAATAAACAAAACGAAAAACCAGAAGCTAAGAAGTGTGGCATTGCATGAAGGTCTTACGATATGATCCCCACCAAGAAGAGAATGCAGCTGAAAATGCTCTTCAGCTGTTGTTGCTCTGCGCTCTGCGCTCTTCGTTCTTCACCATCTCTCACTCTCTTATTTTTTCTGTTCATGGCTCGCGCTCTCCAGCTGGAAGCTCTTTGTTCAGCTCGCTGACTAAACAGACACTCAAAATGATAATTAACTCAACAAATGACAATAATATTTTGCAAAGTATACAATTTTCCTGAAAAAGCTAATTTTTAGGAAAAATGTAAAGTTTTAATAACTTTTGCAAGTTCTGGAAACGCTGAAATATGGAAAGTATTTACTGTTTATCAAATCACTCAAAGTTTCTTTTGTCTCTGTTCCACTCATTGCCTTTACGCATGACTCATGCTAGTTGTCAGCGCTAGCAGTTAGTTAGCGTGGATTTCACTCAATTCTCGCTCTCTCTCGCCAGCTCTCGCTTGGATATTCAGCGCTCCGTAAAGTTGCCAGCACAAAAGCGAGAGAGAGAGAGAGAGAGTGCCATGCTCAAGTTTGCGTTTTGTTGATGAGCAGTGGAAATCTAAAGTTAAATATTTCGAAATTATTAAAAATATTTCAATATATTCTTAATATTCCATACAAAAATACTCTGCTCTCAAGACTCAAGTTGTGGTGAAACGTTCAGGGAAATTCTCTGCTGTTGCTGAACGGTCAGGGAAATTCTCCTTTGTAGCCGATCCCATTGTGACTGGGCAATTTTGTCATATTGTGAATGGGCAATGTTGTTATATTGTGAATGGGAAATTTGTTGTGCAGTGTTAACAAATAAATCCAACAATAAACAACAAACTGAAGAGCAGTGTCGAATTATTGTTGAAATTCGAAAAATTACGTTGATATTTTTGCAAAACAAAACAACAAAAAGTATTTCTCAATTAAATACGAAAATCCCCGATCTCGATCGCGATAAGGAATTGTTGTTAAGTTTTTCTAGAAACTGCAGTTGGTGTATCTGCAAGATACATTCGGTTCTTTGTGCAACACACGTGTGGTTTTCCCACAAGAAAAGAGCGAAGATTCTGCGTTATCTGAATCACAGCCTCAGCCCCAAGTCTCCAACCTTCATTCTTGTCGCGTGCGTGCGTTTGTGTGTGTTTGTGTGTTGCATCTGTATCTGTGTATCTGTTTATCTGTGAGTAAGACGCGCTTCGATCGCGTTCTACATTTTGCTGCGCGTTACGGAATAAATTAAACCTCTCGCGCATACTGTGCTCTCATTTTGCATACTAAATTAAATATATACAAAATTGTTTTTTGCCACTCTATTAAGTTGGAAGTTACGTGGATTACGAAACCCCCATCCAAAAAACGCAGAAAAAGTGAAATTTCTTATACAACATGCGCTAAAAAAAGGAGAGAAAAGAAATTGAGAAATTAAAAGATACAAATTTATGTGTTTCTGTGTGTGTTTATTGGCAAATATTAAGCCCTGGTGACATATCAGAGATACCCAAAGAATATCAACTAAAAAGGTGAAACGCCTTCACATTTTGGATAAATCAACCAACAGCAGTGGCATGCCACAGAGTGCCGCTTCAACATTCTCGCCGAGACCCGCTTTCAATGAGATTTAACTAGATAAATGGTGCGTATCTCCATCCCCCCTCTGGTTCCATCTTACCCGATTACGCTTTGATAAATTGAATTCTTTCCATATCAATCGTCGTCTTAAACTGCTGGCGGAAGTCAGGGTCACATGAAATCGGATTTATAAGCGGTTTATTTTATATCGATCGTGTGGAAATTTCCTTCAATTTTGAATTGCTGTTTGAGAAGATGGGAAATTAGTCCTATTTTGGTCTGGATTTGGGGGGAAAAAAAGGTGTAATTCCTTGAAAAATTAAAAGATTTTTGCTGCTCTTGAACAAAATCTTCAAAAGGAAAAGGGTGGAAAATATTTATATTTATGTCCATATGTTCGAGTATTGGTTATTTTGTGTCTTTACTCATGCAAAAACATCATAAAAACTTCTTTACTTAAAAGTATTTTTTAATAGTAATAATAATAATTCTGAAAGAATGTAGCATATTTCGTACCATTTGCATTGCATGGATGTGCCTTTCTCCTATTGGAAATTGTTAGCCCCTGAAGTGGAACGAATATCTGATTCCATCTCCTGCATAATATTCGACTTTTGTTTATATTGTACCACATTTTGCCTATACAAAATATTGTAAAATGAATGACTGCATAAATCATTCTTTCCATTGACTTGAGAGGTTACAATTTGGAGTTCAACCACCTCTAATGTACACATGTACGTGTAGCACCCGCATCGTAGTAATAACCTTTCCCAACAGGAATAAATTGACCCATTCCGTGCGTTGAAGGTGGGGGGACCAGCATGATGTTTTTTTTTGCACTGCACTTAAACCACCCTCTCGTCCTGTCTCTGTCTGGCCAAATACTCGTACAAGCCAATTCAGCTTGTGGCTGCCTTCTTTTGCATTCACTTGGCTAATTATACGAACAAGCTATGGAATGACCACGACAACGTTGTTGCGACGGTTGCCTCCTTCCCATTGGCCTTCGTTGTGTTTATCTTGTTAATTAAGCAACAACTAACTACTGGTTAATTTTTAATTGTTACAACACAATAATTTGTTGTTTGCCTTTGTATGCTCTCAGCGATGGTGGGACGCCGTTTAGTGATCTCAAAGAATACTGTTATTACGTGAAATAGAACGGCCTCTTATCTTGCCCTAGAGTTCTTTTGCTAGTAGTTGACTCGGTCTTCACTTGTGTGTCTGTGTGTCATTTAATTCGCCCTCTCTCGCATTGATTTTGCACGGTCTTGACGCGGTTCGCAGCACATGGAACTGGAACTGAAGCTAAAGCCGGAGGTGGAGATGGAGTAGTTCCACCCTCGCGACTGATTCTGATGGGAATGAATGGGAAACTGCAGGCATTTCCATGCGGGCTTTTGTGGGGGGTATAAAGGGTATTCTTGTATATATATTTGTGGCACTTTGTGTGTTGTCGCTTTTTGTGTAGAACAGCCAGTTTTGGCAGACAAGATTATTCCAGGAGATATTTGGGATAAAGATAACGATGAAAAGCTC